AAAAAATATATATATTAATATGTGTGATCCAAATATATAGAACAGAAATTATTATTCAAAAACTAAGTTCTAAAACAAAAAAACTTAAAGATATAGAACAAATCCTAATATAAAATATATAAATATAATAACATTAAGGTATATATTAAATTCTAAACCCTAAAACTCTATATATCAATCCAAAAATTCAAATCCATGTATCCTATAACATGTACTATTATGATTATTTAAGTGATAGTTGCCCATACATACCATATATAATACATTCATCATTGGTGTTGTAGTATTATATTTTAATAACTGTAAGAAATTTTTAAAAATTGTTATTTCGTTAACACTTCTTTGCAAAAGGCACAATATTCCTTAAAATTCATTTTACATTTCCTTGCTCTTAAACGTTCATTTTTTACAACTTTTATCATTATATAAATAATGGGTACCAAAATTAAAATTGATAATATTATTATAAATGTGGCATAAAATTGATAATCATAAATTACATCCATAATAAGCCAATCACCAAATGTTCTAAATAAAGCAGAAATAATATTTGTACTTGGACTTCCTGTAGAGTCTATCTTACTTATTAAAGGATAAATTAATCCAGATAATTGAAATAGACAAAAAATTGTACCATAGAGTCCATAACTCATACAAATTTTTTTTTTCAGTCTTCTATTTTCATTATTACTACTTTCAGCTATTTTATCTATTTTATCAATCTTATCGAATATATATTTTTCACAGTAGCTGTCAAATCTTCCTAATCCTTTCCTACTATAATATCTTTGCTTATAGTACCTCATGTAAGTGTCCAAATCGTCTATTCCATTTTTTTCTATTTCTTTATATTTTAATACATCCTGTTCTCTCTTTTTTTTAATTTCCCTTTTTTTTTCCTTGGCTAATTCTTTTTCTCTCATTTCAGGAGTCTCATATTTTTTTAAAAAATCAAATTTTCCAATATTATATAATATTTGTGATAAACATATAACAACTATAGTAAGAAATGCTACATTATTTAACTCTATATATTTACCGTATATATTTGAATTGCATTTATGTGTTAAAATAATAACTAAAGAATAATGTATAGAATGAACAGCAATCTCATGTATTTTTTTCCCAGTATAATCATACAATATATTAGCAATTCTTCTACTTAATGGAATAACATGCAATTTAGGGTAATCTTTAAATATGACTCTTTCTAACGTTTTATTCGTTATTTTTTCTTTTACTACATGTTTATCTAATTTTTCAGGTATATCTAATAATAATTCTTCAATACATTCATCCAGCAATTTCATATCTTTGTATATAGAGGCTATTTTATGCGAACCATTGTTTATAGTATATTTTGGGTTAAAAAGTTTTAAATTAACTTTTAAATCTTCTCGTTCATATTTTCTTTGGAATATATTTTTAGCCAGTAAACGCTCTGTTCTTGTAATATAAGTATTATCAGCATTGAATGTGTTAAAAAAATATTTAGATAATATGCGCTAAATAAAGATAAAAAATATATGTATATAATTAAATATATAGTTAAATATAATAGTAAAAATTTTTTTACATATAAATAATATTATATAAAATCTACAATATTCATATATATAATTAATATACTTCATCATCATAATGGTGGCATATACATAAAAGAATTATGAATACAATAATTTTAATAGATATTATAAATTCATTTTTTCCTTTCATATTATATATATATTTGAATACTATAAATGAGTTAAAATTTTATGTTTCATATATGATAAAAGAATAATAATTACATAACATATTAATATATATTAAAATCAATTTACTTTATTAAATATGAGTTAAAATTACACATTTGTTTTGTATATTAATATTTTTATTGAAACAATATAAATTACGAAATTTTTTTGAATTACTTTATGAAAACATCCTATATATATAAATTATTATATAGATTACTTTCTAATGAATTTTAAAATTATTTACATTTTTATTAATACAAGGAAATTAAAAAATACATAAGGAAGAATTATTTAATATATTCAAAAATAAAAAAATAAATTCATATATATAAATAATATATTATAGATAATTTAATTTATTCATTATAGAATCAAAAATATCTTATGGTATGCTTTTTATTTTTATTTATTAAAATATTTTTACTCCATTCTCAATAAGAATTTATTAAGACAGTAGCTTAAAAATATCAATTCTTAGAGGAAAATAAATATATCTTATTATATAAAAAATATTGATATGCGAACAGTAAAGTACTTAACTTTTTATTTCATATGTTCTAACGTATTTTATCTTCACATATATTGATTAGTACGATTACTATATTTTACATATATATAATTATATAATTTCAGTATAATATTACATCAATTGTACCTTCATAAATAGTGCAACTTTTCGTATATTAAAAAAATTTATAAATATACTTATGTGCGTTATTCTCTTATGTAAACTATATTAGAAAAATGAAATAATTTATATGAATGTTCTTATTATATTGGCATTATCATACGTGCATTAATAATATTATACTCAATGTCTTATGTATGTAAAAATATAAAATTTGGAATAGAAAATTATATTTTTATGAGGTATAGTGTCCGCTGCATAAAAAATACTTTTATCTGAATAAAATTTTAATTCTATTCATATGTATAATGATAATTTATACGAATTCAATTAAAATCCCATAATTATTATATAAACAAGATCCAATAAAAATTAACAACTGAAACAGGTTTATTTAACAATGTAGATTAATGTTAAAATAGAACATGTATATATTTTAATCCCTTTATTAATGTATTCCTAAAGCATTAAGTATAAAATGTAATGAATTCATTTTCTTTTTTATTATATATTATTTAACTATAGTTTTAGATTTAACATCTGATATATATAATATTTATATTTTTTATGAATATTATTTCTATGTTATTATGCAATGAATAATGCAAATAAAAATTTTCAAATGTTAAATAAAATTATTGGAGGCATACTTATTACAGTTTATATATAAAAAATCTAACACTTGAAAATTTTTATGATGATTTGTTCTCATAAGAATTTTTTTTTTAATAACCATTAATTTTTTTACTTATACTTTTTAATAAAATTCCAAAAAATATATGCAAAATTTCTTTTATTTACCATCATTTGTCAAAAGATACACATTTAGTGTAAAATTTATTGAGTACATAAATTATTATATCATCAAAATATAAAAAAATCATAAAACAATTAATTTTGTTATATTTATTAATCTTGTTATTTGATTCTTAAATTATATGTGAATTAAATTATATAATTTATTAATAATGCATATTTTTTTCAGAGATGTATATTTTTTTTTAAATGAATTTCGTTTTTTTAAATATGCTTTTAATTTTAATTGTAACAAGTTAGAAGTAATTTTTTATTTATTATAACAATTATTACATTAGTGATTTTGATAAAAACCTAAATTATCCAATGATTCAATGTATATCAGAATATATTTATGATATAAACTCAATTTGGTATGAACAATTGATATATATATAATCATTCTTTTTTTTTATTAATATTTTCTAATTAAAAAAAAAAATTCAAAACATATATACAAATTTACATAATATATATTTAATAGTATTAATATTTTGTCCTCAAAATATGTGAAATGAATAATTAAAAGTAAATATATACATATATATATGTATACCTAAATAAATTAGGAGATACCATATTATATATATGTGTACCAAAACACGAGAATATTGTACACAAATATATATAATTTTTTTCTATTGTTCTTGAGATATTTTTGGAACCTCTTCTCCATATAATTTCTCTTTGTGTTCCTCTATATCAGATAGCAATTTCTTTTGACCATCAGATTAATAATCAATAA